CAAAAGTACAGAAAATGAATGCTAGGGAAGCGGACAGGCTTGGTATTTGCCCCATTACTGCTAACATCCTACTGCTGGAACGTGTGGGAGAGCTGGAGGAGGACTGGCACAAGCGAGGTGTTGCACCCCTGGCTGTACACACAAAAGTGTGGAAGAAGGAGGAAAGAAGGCTTGTGGATACAGCCATGAGGATGAGTGCCTGCAGAGAAGACACCCTTGGCTCCTGCTGTGCTGGGCCCATCCCTCTCCGGGTTTGACAGCCAGGAAGTGCTACTTTGCTTTCTTTTTATCTGCCTTCCCCAGATCTGTGTAAAGTAACATCAGATAATCCCGGTCTAACTTATGATCCAACCCCCCAAAGGTTAAGTAACTTGGCTTACATAACTGAGCCAAATAAAGGTTGAAACAGACTATGAACGAAGTATGCAGCCAAAAAGGGGAAGAAATAGCCCAAGAACAACTGGATATGAATTGACCACAAGTAAAATCACAAGACAACTAATCAGATGAATGTTGTTTCAAAACCTCCTTAAAGCAGGAGTAGCAGAATCAGAAAAACAGATGCTGCCTTGCACAAGCTCAAGTTTTTGCACACTAGAAAAATCTGACGTAAGGTTTTAAAGCACTTGGTTTCTACTGGGGGAGCGAATGCTCCCAGTATATAACACTAGCAAGCAGTGTGGCATATTGAGCCTGATAAGCTATTCAGAGAAGAATGACAGGAACTACCCAAAGACTGAGAAGACTACGAGATGATAGTGTTTTACAGGACCTGTCAAACATTAGAAAGTAGCTTAAAGAATGAACTTGTTATGGGTAAACCATACAAATCAAGGCAGCACCAGATACCGCCTGTTTCTCTTCCCCCAACCCCCCAAACCTCAACACCCCAGATATACTCCTTTTCTTATAGAAGTAAAGCGATTAAAAATTACAAGCTGTAGACTAGGAAATGTCTAGAAAAAAGGAAGAGCATGGGAGACGGATATGAAAATTCTGTGCTGAGATTCCTATGTAGCTACTATTTGAAATGGACAAATTGGAATACTCTGACAGCACGCTATTCATGTTAGTTAAGGGTGATTACAAAAACACAGTCTGTGAACTGATGTGTAAGTATTCTCCATAACTATTAAATTTGCTTAGCTTTTCATCAGAAGTCATTAGCTAGAAACATATCTTCCAAAAACCAGAAAGTTGAATTTGCCACATATATTCCTATTGTTACCTCCCAGTTAGATTTTTACAACCATATACCTGAAAGTGTCAGATGACCAAAACTATACAAACGAACTAAATAATGATTGTCTGTGTCACATTAGCACTTTTTTTTTTTTTTAAACCTATAAAACATAAAAGGGTCCTTTAAATGAGAGACTGGAACCCTGTAGTATATACAAGTTGATGTATATAAGAAAATACAGCACACACAAAAAAAATTTGGCATGCTGACCTTGGTATTTCATCTTCTTCCCATTCAATGAAAGATGCGCTGTTTGAATTTTCTGGCAAATGAATTGTATGACGTTTACTTACACCTGATGTATCACCTAGAAAGAAAAACAGAATGAGAAATGAATTCATTTATGTGGCAGTATTTTTTACACATATAATTATATAATTGCATTTATTATTTAATACTACCAGTCCAAATGCTCCTAAAGAATAAATAGCACTGCATGATATCATCTTCAAAAAGTAACTATGCTAGCATTTAAATGATTTAACTTTCTTTCTAACATGTAGATACACATAAAAAGAAAAATATATTCTCAACACACTGACATTATTAGAATTACATTTGCTGTGTTCTAGTCGTATCTTAACGTAAATTCAATTTTTTCCTATTTGTGCGAGTTCCAAAGTAAATCATGCAGAGTCTGATGTAAATTTCAGAATTCCCAAGTGTCTGGGTCCTCAGGTCAGATCCCAATGGAAATTAGAAGTCAAAGAAAACACTAAATTCTACTTCACACTTTTCCTTTTCTCATCTGTGAGCTGAAAGAAAATACACAATATATTCCAGATGCAGTAGCAGTAAGTGAAAACCTGCAATGAAGGCAGATGTTGTCTGACCTACAAATAAAGAAAACACCGTGTAAGTTTGCTCGGAGGTCTCAGTGTAAGGAAGTGTGCTCCAAAGTCATGCTGGAGAAGTCCCCTCTGAAGATTTACTACCTCCTTTGTGGTCTCCTCCTGAACCTTCACTCTTCAGAGGAAGGAAAGACAATATACACAGGATGTGGCACAAGAAAGAAAAAAGCCCAGGAATGGAGCTGGGGGGAGGTGGAATAGGAGAAGACCTTGAAAATTACTCAGTCTCCCACTTCTATGTGAAAGACCAGCTCGAACCTTCAATTTTCTCAGCTATGTTGGTGTCACACATTAGCAAGTTTTTTTTTTTTTTATTAAATTTACCTTTCAGCAATAGCAAACACTTTTGCATTTGTTAAAGATACACTAATTGAACGATTCAATTGCCAGAGACCTTCAATAAAGAAATATTTGTTAGAATATGCATTTTTATTCTATGATTTCAAAGTAAATTTCATAGAAGTCTTGCCAATGTGAATTCCACTACTTGGAATACCAGGGATAGGGATATGTCATGTAGCAAAAAGCCCTGAATAATATAGTTACTACAGAAGCAACTAGGAAACACCATGCCAAAAGTGCCTTAGGAGCTACAAATAGAAGCAACTGAAATCCAGCAGGCTTAATTAAATATGTTCCAGACCAACCCCACTGTACCCAGACTAGTTCCTGCAAATCCTGCCCCTACCTCAGACTCCTAAGTGCCCTGACATGGCACACAGACACTAAACTCACACTGGAAATGTGGTACTCAAGTGTGGTGAAAAGACATGCTTGTATTTATGTAGGAGCTAGCTCACATTCAGCCACACCTGCACTAAGATGGTCTATGCACTACAATGCCTAAGCAAGTGATTACAGAAAGACAACACAAAATATCTGATCCTGTTTGCACAGACCCAGCTCAAACCTAGCGTAGCTTAGTGCCTGTGCTGTTCAAAAGTGACGACTTGCCCTTGGGCAGAGCTGGTGCAGGAAGAAACACAGCCATGATTTTACTGTGTGGCATATCGACTAATTGTCCGTATTAAAATGCAAGCTGACTGTGCATGGAAACATCTCGTTATTTTTCATCTGCAACTTGATTATTCTGAGTTGATGAAATGGGACTGAATAGATGTATACTCTAAAGGAAAATACATCACAGCAGCTATGCAAGATTTTAGGCCAATTGGTAAAATATATACTACTATTTTTAAAAATTATATGCATTTCAAATATCACACCAGGGCATTTTCAGTGCATTACCCCCTTTCTTATTCCCTAAGAATCCTACTTTCAAATACTTCTAAAAATCGAGGCTTAAATTCCTGTATCAGTTTGTTTCTTCAGTAAAGTTACTTATAGGGATAGAGATTTAAGGAGACTCAATATTCCCCTTTTCTTGACACAAAGATCTTGAAAAACAGTAGCAGCGACACATCAAGGTCTTTCAGAGTCATAGTACAGAAGAAGATTCAACTATTGAAAATAAAAGTTTTGTAATAGTTTTAGTGGCATGTGGTGCACAAATGAATTTGCAGCCTTCTTCCTCACTATCCATAAAGAGAAGAACTTGAAAAAAAGAACTCCTGCATCTTCTCGATACAGGCTGATGAAGGCAGAGTATTCCTGCTACTACAAATCTGCCTGCTCCTCTCTCAGCCTTCAAAACAGTCTACGTATCTCAATGAAAAAAATACCACTGGAAACAGGCTCCTGAGGCTGCTTAATTACATGTAGGAACAGATCTATTATTGAATTTTCTATTTCTTGCCAGACTGATTTTTGTATCATCATCTGCAAGGGAAGAACAGTAATTGTTTGCGGCACATCTTTAGGCAAAGGCTTTTACTGCCACCTAAGAAACAATGTTCAGCCTGGCCTGCACGGCACAAACTACACATGACTAAAATGAATGCACACCCCCAAGACACAGAAGCTGTGGAACAGGCAGGTAAGCGTGTCAGTCATAAGAAGAGGCTGTGCCTTCTACACTACTCCAACAGGTCTGAGATTAGAAAGGCTAGCTCTTCTCAGGGCTGCTGTGCAAGGACTGGCCTCTTGACAGCATTGCCTCTATAAGGTTGTACCAGGGACAAACCATTTATCATTCAGCTGCTGTGCTAGGAGTAATAGATAGTGATCCTGTGACCGGGGACTGCAACAGACTGAGGCAGGCTACTTATACGTGTGATGAGGAGCCACTCAAAGTGTTATGATACTTGCTGGGAGCACTGCTGCCACTATCTGATCAAGCCAGGACAAGGTAGCCTGTCATTTTCTTGCTTTTATCCTACTGGATTCTCCCCTACCAGAATAGTTACAGTTCAGTGGCCTCAGCCCATGCTCCTCTTTCACCCTCTTCTTCCCATTCAAGACCTAGGTCTCTAATCCTTAAATAAATGATGAAGGAGAATATAAATAGCTTGTGTCTTTCACCTGTCATCTGAAAGAGAGAGTGAGAAGAGCTATGGAAAAAGGATGGGAGCAACTACTCAATACAATTGCATTGCATGTCTCCAGAAGGCTGCTTTGGAGGTTTGGAAGGCTAAAGGTACCTGACTATACTTCCTCAGGACTGAAGATCCTGAAAATGCTCTGTCTGTGGCTGAGCTTTTGTCTTCCTACAGTTTGGACACCAGCAAAAAAGTGTGGCCTATTGTTGAGTATTAAAAGAATATTTTTCTTTAGATGAGAATCACTTACAAAAAATAATCTATTCCTGTCTGAATATATATGCATAAAAATAATGGGAAAAAAATTAAAGTCAGCATGATTCTTACTTGCTGTTTTTAGAGAAAGATACTTCACCATTCTTTTCAACTCTTGCTTTAGCTGTAGGAACAATTATGATTTAAGTAAACAATACTTATTGTCCTAAATGTTAAGTACCAAAGACATTAAGGTTTTCCTACTGTTATCTCCCCTTTATACTGAAACATTTAGAAAACATTATGGATGTTCTTGTCCAACTTCATTTTTATTTAAGTGCGTACACTCAAAATGCCAAACTAATTCTTTAAAATGAAAATTTAAAATACCTCCTTTGCTCAGACATTCATATTTCAAATTTCACCTGAGAGCAAATGACCTTAGTACAAAACACAAACGTTTCAATTAAAAACATTATTTGTCAGCAGAGCACAATGATTAGCCATAATTTTGTAAAGACAAGAGCACAGCAAAAAAAAATGAATTACAATTGATACAGGGATCAAAAACAAATGTCAAAAAATTAAAGCAACAGTATTAGTATGCGATCTTCCATGTGAATTCTTCAACTAAATATCAACTATTTTTAATCTTCTAACTTGGAAAGAGGTGTGATCATCTTGTGAAAATGGTCACAGCCGTGCTGCTGACAGAACATGTGTTTCTTGATGTATAGCATCTCATTTCAGGAAGCAGACTCTTCCTCAATCCCAATACACAGGCACAAAAAGGAAAATGATAGAAAGCTAGACACAGACTTTGTTTTGACACAGAAAGCAAACTATAGGGCAACAACACATGATACCCATTCAGCCACAAACTACGGCAGAAGTCTGACAGCTAGCGACATTTTGTTCAAAATGGTAGTTTTTAGCCTTCAAAAAAATTACGCGGTCTTAAGAAATAAACACCTTACTTTTTCTCCTTGCCTTTCTGAATTTGACAGCAGCCAGGTTTATTAAATTCATTCCATATAAGTTGTAGTCTATAAAGAGTTGAAGGAGGTAGGGAATATGGGCTTCATGAGGCTGGTAAGATTTGTTCATTATGGCTCCACCTTGCAGAAGCTCACATACTCTAAAATTAAAGACAATTTGGACATAAACCAAAAATTATTCCAGTACAACAATATTGATATTTGATTTTATCAAAATATAAAATACTTAAATTTCTTTTAAATTTTGCTTTAGTTGCATTTTTAACTTAAGAATTTTGTTTTCACAATAACAGACCCACAAAAATTACCTCCGCTTATAATTATTCAATATTTGGGTGTTAATTACAAAGGAGCTGTGAATACTCCAGCTTAAACAAACAAACAAACCTCAAAAACCATCATACCATGTACTATTCCTGCAACTGATCCAAAGCCACTATAGTCCATGAAAATCTTTCTACAGAGTAACTATGGCAGCTGTATGCCTACACAACAGTAATAACTTTGAAAGTCTCTCTAGTTGTCCTTGACGTATATACAAAGATGTCCTGCATGGTTTTAAAGTTACATACTATATACACAGAAGCAGTATTTTAACAACTTCCTAGAAGTTGTTAATGTTAATTTGTTGATGACAAATCTTCTCTTTTAAACATCTACACATTAAAAAATAACTGCAGGTATTTGGATAATTATAAATTGGTGCAATAAATTTAACAGGATGTATCTATAAATCAAAGAAAAGCACTAATCATTTCTAAATGCCACAAATTGGGTCAAAAAATAAAATTTTATACAGAAAAATTAAAGGAATAATTTAAGTGAAGTGTTAGTCCTTATTTGGATACAAGGAATTCAAACATGAGAAGCTCCAAAGTTCGAAACAACTGTCATGTCATACATGCATATAGATTACATTAAGGCAGAAATTTAACATCATGCAAAATTTTACTAGCCTAGAACAAAACCCAGACAATCCTATTTTATGATCATGTATTAGATCTTTAAAAAAAAACCCAGTTACAATAGGTAATACTACACACGCAAGGGATTTCAGTTTATGCTTGAGAAATAATTTCTCCTTATTTATTCCTGAATTTACCGCAACTACTGTGACAGTAAGATTGAGATCAGCTGTGCTTTCATTTAACAGAACATTACTCTATTGAGAAATAAATAAACCGTCTAATAACAAAAACTCTCCAGTTTTTCAAGTATATTTTAAATTTAATAATGGGTGCTGGAATTTAAAAACTACCAAAATTCACTTCATAATATATGACAGAGTACTACATTGTTCCCCTTAATAGTTTTCCTCGTTTTCCTTAAGAGTTTCAGGAAAAGTAACTTGATACAAATTTGTTCAAGTGTTCAACAATTACAGTTAATACAAGACAACTAAAGGCAGGTATATTTTAGTCTTGCTTTCCTAACATGCTACTGCTTTAAAAATAATATTGGTGTGCTTAAAATTAGCAATTTTCTTATGTGTTTTGAAAAATTTGGACAATAATTTTGTTGCTTTTATTTTATTAAGATGTAGGTGAATCTTGCTTCAAAATTGACTTTTAAATACAAGATATAAGGAAATCAGCCAGAACTTCATACCACCACATCCTTACCTTTTTACCATTGCAGGATTGTAAAGATAAATCTTCATAAACTGTCTCTCCTTTTCATGGTAACCATAAAAAGGCCTGGAGAGGAAGAAGTAAAAGCAAGAAGCTAGCCAGTTATGCTGTGGCATTTATTCAACCGCATTTTACTATAAAGAGTATTAAAATCCAAGGAAAAAAATTAGAAGACAAACTGCATATCCAGGAGAATGAGAATTCCCATATGTCAGGCCAAAGGGTAGCACAACATTACTATATAATATGTCAAAGATAAAAAGAATAGGCCCTATGCATATCAAAGTATCTAAAAAATTGGAAGGCATTTCTGGCTTAACATTGTTTCTTACTTTCCACACATGTAAACATACTGATGGCACACCATCATAATAGTACTCTTAACAAATTTATTAGTGCTGGACTGCTTCCAAAACAGCTTTCAGCCCTTCTGATAAATGCTGTAACAAAGTCCTTAAGGACATTAATTCTGCACATCAGGTGCAAATGAGTAAATACTGGCTGTGTAACATAAATAACTGAACAATAAGAACTGCTTAAAAGAGTGAATAGTTGCCCCTTTTCAGTGATTACTAATCATCTTGTGCACTAAATGAGGCATGAATCCTGAAGAAAATAGGATTTGAGAATGCAATTAAAGAATACATAGCATAATGAATATGTCAAGATTAAACTGAGGTTGAACAGCCAGCATTAATTCTGGTAATACTTGACTGAATTACTGACTTTTCAACATCTAGAATTCTAATCTAATCTAACATACTTGTAAAACAGCATGTTAAGAAAACAGGCCATAATTCAACACATTGGGTGAATGCAAGAAGTCTACAGTTTGCAGTAATCGCAACCAAAGTCAACAGAAATTCAGGAAAGCATACATTAAAAATGTCACCTTTAAAAAATAAAATAAAACAAAATCTCTTTATCAAAAATATTATAAAAAAATGCAACTGGGATGCTTACCTGCTAAGTCTAAAAAATGAAGTTCAGTAGTAAGAGGGATTTCAGTCCTAAATTAAATGCAAACTCAGCAGAACTGCACAACTACAGCATTAATACTGCTATCCTTAATATGGTTAAATATGCACACATTTAATATCTCCAAAAGCTAGACTGAACTATTTAAAAAAATGTTTATGATGTTAAAACTGAGCTAAGTTGAAACAACAAACTTCAAGCTGTTAAGCTGAAAAGGGAGATCAGATCTTGTATAATGAATCAATCTCTTTCTTATAGAGGTAGTATAAACCTAATGACAGGTTATATACCTTGAGTTATAATGACTCAGTGTGCTGTAGGCATGTAAATTAAAAGCTACTTTAAAAAAAAAGTCAGCACTTGCATGGCATACTCACATTGACATGGCAGCAGGGAGAGCAAGATTTATAACACTTCCAAGGTTAGCTATGAACGCCTACTTTAACTTCACAATGCACAAGGACAGTATATTTCACCTCTTTTTTTATTCCTGGACCTCCACTATGTTTGGAAGTTAACGCAACAAAAATCTTATGTTAAACTTACAAGGGTTTAGCAAACACCTTTATTATTTATTTATTACATAACAATTTTCCTGCTAATGTAGAAGAGAAGGCTTAAGATAAACTCCAAGATTTAATGAAAAATATAGGCTTCTCACCATGGAGACACTATAATATTTATGAGCAGAATCTGACCCTGGTCAGAAGAGAAGAAAACAAATTTCTTTTGTGACTACATAAACATGTCTATCTACCCAGGTAAAGATGAAGATGTATTATAATTTCTGTTAGGTGCTTCCCATTAGCCTCTTATGCAAGCAAACAAAATGGATGAAGTGCTCTTTCCTATGCTTCTTTGAGGCAATGAGTATTGAACTTTCAGTAATGACTGTTTTGAAGCTGTAAGGCAAGAGAGGGGAAAGAGGCAGGATCTCCTAATCTCTGTCTGTTTTCTCACTGAGTCGAGGAAAGACTGTCTTCAGCAGTTGACTCTGCCCAGGTTTTACTGTTGAGATGAACAGCTATACTACAATTCACATAGTTCTCAGAAAAAGGACAAAAATAAGAAATCCGGTGGGTTACCTTCCTTGTTACTGCAAAAACACATCAGAAAGTTCTGACTGAAGATGAAAAGAAGTTATTGTAGCCCCTTTACTAGCAATATCTAGAAGGTACCACTAAAACTGGCTGGAAACAGAAAGATTATCTTCCTAAACTTAGAAAGAACATATTTCAAAAGTGCATGGGAAAAAAAATAAGTAAAAGATAGTGCTGCATAGTACTGAAAATTAGCATTCACATTGTTTTGAAGATGAAAAATTCAATGCATGTATAGACTAACTGTGTTCCTCCAGGACAGCTTCCCATTACTCACTATGATTTGACGTATTTTTCAGTCTTTGGTTATGCGACTTAAATAAAAATTAAGAGAATCCTTAAAATGTTAACATTCTATAATAGCATATAGTTCCAGCAGTAGTAGAAAGCTACACCAAATAATAAAACACAACAGTCAGCTTGACAGATAAGAAAACTAATGTGTAAGAGTCTCCACTTCATGGCCTGTGCTGCTGGGAGAACCAGATGGGTAAACATGAGCTGACAGTCTCTGCGATGTGCTTCCTAAAGGGGCCATCTCATATTAACAAAGAAAAGGAGACCTAGAGTCAGGCTCCTGCAAAACATGGCTGGTCACAGGGAACCCAGAATAACCCAGACAGGTAGAAGACGCCAGCTGGAAAGTACTGCTGTAATAGCAGAGACAGAAAAAGCTAAAAGGAACAGATTTGGAAAAGTTACAGACACTAGGATCCAAGTTTAGGAAAAAATGGTTATGTCAGGTGTTTGGGGGGAAAACCTGTTGATTATTTTAAAATCAAAGCAAGTGAGAAGAATTATTTAGTAGTTGTACAGGCCTGTATGAAGACACACATGGGGAAAAGAAAAAGGAAAAGCACTGCAGTCACTCAAGTCCATAGTAAGTGCTTCTATTTAGTACAACTGCAAAAACATTTCAAAACAAATAACTAAAAATCCTAACAGGTCATACTTACATTCCAGATACTAATGATACTTTGAAAACATGTTGAATAGTAGAAGATGGATTGCCTAAAGCCACATTAAGCGCTCTGTCAATGCTGAATGCCACTTGACGAAGATAGTATTCCGGATGCTGTCCAAAACCATCATATGGTACATAGAGGTAAGGAAAGATACCATGTAAGTGGAGACAAGTCTTCTGACCTAAAGAAGAAAAGGTAAACATTTATTTTCTAATGACCACATCTTTTACTTCTTTTAAGTAGTCCCTAAGTTTGAATTTTTCCAGGTTATTTTCAGGTTCTGCAGACAGGATAAATTTATGAAACAAGTTCAGGTGTATTTCAAACAAAAGGTACCGATTTAGAGCAGTTCTCACATTTGATTCATTGACAACAGCAATACAGAACAGATGCGGTTACGTAATATACACAGTGGCAAATTCTGCTGTTATACAATTGTAATCCTAACGATTTTCTTTGTAGTAATAACACAACACCTCTCTGAGAATAATTTCGCATACTGAGTCACTGTTGGATGGTTAATGGTTTCTCAGCCTTTGTGAAAATTTTGCTGTATCAAAATTTTTCCCATTCCTCACTGGGATGAGCATACAACCTCTCAGAAATTAAAAAGAATGTTCAGAACATCTACGAGGCCAGTCAAGATTCTAGTTATTAAAGCGTAAGTTTGGATATGGAAAAAAAAAACCACCAGGTGATTTTCAACATTTTAAATCGGTGGATCCCTGAAAGGTCTCTATTGCATATGCAGGTCTCTAGCCTTCTAACAACACGTTTACGTCTCAGCATTAGCTTTCATGAGTCCACAGTAACAGCAGAATGAAAGAATACACCATGAAAACCATTCTACTAGACCACAGCTTGAGCTTCTGTTTCAGACAAGGTAGTACAGTGATGTGGACCGGGATCTCCCAAACCTACCACGTTTTTTGGGAGACTAGTCTCAACTGTAATGCGTGTTCTCCGTTCTTTCCTCACCACAATACAACAGAGCATGCATTCACTGCTGAAACTAACATCAGGTCCTGCTCACCACCCTTCCAGCCCCAAAAATCATTCATGACTTCTCACTGGTCAATGAAAAAGTTTCACAGAAAAATACTATAAGCATGTCGCTGATTAACCCCCACCGCACCGTAATGATAGGCCAAATATATTATCTTGCATTTTGTTTGGATAAACTCCCTGCATGAAGAGAGCAAAACAGTATCTAAAGGCAGTGCTTTCATCAACCAGGAGATAAATAGGGTGCACAACTTCACTGGTCCACAAGACTAATGACAAGACTTCCAAAAGTCCATTCTTTCAAACAGATTATTTCTCAGCAGGTAGACCTTGCCTGAACTATTTACACTCACTCATACCCACATCAGCGCACCACTGGCCACCCAGTGAACGCAGCTGTAGGTCCACTAAAGCGCAGGAAGAACAGAGCTTCAGAATCAAGACTGCTTGCAGATTTTTACATTTGTGAAATGCATGCCTCCAAATACCATAAACACCATTGCATTTTTTTTTACTGGGGGTCAGATGTATTGTTCTTTCTTCAAATATTTATCAGGCCTTCACATAATGTCTAGAAGTGAAAGAAACTGCTCTAAGGATGGTAGTACAAGTCCATTTTCCAAGGTGAATTTTATTCTCCCTATAAGTCATCCCCATCAAGTCTCTTCAGCAATGTTTAAATACAACCTATATACGCATAATGTTGAGGACATCATCTATGATGAATTCTGCCCATGCTTTTAAACTATTTCAAGAGAAGAAATTGCTGTATTATGTACTTCAAATAACAATACACTAAAAAAAAAAGAGGAAACTAAAGAAAGAGAAACTACAAACTAGAGGGTTTTTTTTTAATGGTAAAATAAAGGACAGTAACAGCTTTATATGGCAGGAAAATTTCTGTCTCCCTAATGTGGGCTAAGTCATTTATTAGTAGCACATGAACCGAGAGAGTATTGATCCATGCAGTGGTAGCAGACCATTTATTTTCTGTACCAAGCCACCAACAAATCTGAGTGTTTACTCATGGTTGTACTTAAGATTGACTTTGAAATAAAGGATTCCCTCCCCCCTGATATAATTAAGAGAAAATTATTAGTTGTTTAAACTCTACAGTACCTCTATTCATTTTTGTTTGGTTGTTTTTTTGGGAGGGCTTTGGATATTTTTTTTTTAGTTGGGTTGGAGTGGTGGGGGGGTTGGTGGGGTGGTTAGTTGTTTTTTTTTTTTTAAATGTATGCTAGGATCACATTCAGGGAGAAATTCAAATGAATTCATACAAATTATTTGTCTGAATGCCTACTGAAGCTTCTAAAAAACAAGTGAACAAACCAAACTACCCCAAACTAAATTTGATATTGGAGCTACAGACTAAGTATTTCTGGCAAATATATAGGTCTATCCCCCTATAAATTTTATAAGTTCAGGTGACAACTTGTCAGTCAAACTCAGTTCTGCACTCACTTTTTTTAACACTAATAGCTATGAACTCTTGTTCTTTTTGATAACACTTTAAAAAAAAAAAAATCTTTGCTTTAATGGTTGCCCAACTATTCTGAGTTATAGTTAATTGTTTCTCCAGAAAACAAAATTAGAAAGCATCGGAATAAATAGAACTGGAAGACAGTCTAAACTTACTGTACTTAAATACAGGTTCCTTTCAAGTTATGCGCAAGACAATTAATAATGCTTTTATAGCTAGCACCTGATTACTCAAGTTAATTAAATTTAAAAAACAATATAGCCATTTCTACTGCAGCAGTTGAACAATTCTTGCTGAACTGAAATGCCATTTTATTGTTGAATAAAAAAAGAACACGTGCGAAGAAAGCTTCCTTCTATTTCCTTTTGTCCCCTTCCTCTGCACTCCTCTCTATATGCAAAACACCCATGAAAAACACCATAGCCTTCAAATGACCAAAGAGTCAAATTACCACCTAACTCCAGGGAAAGCTTATGAACTATACACAGAGCTGCTTTTCATTTTTGATTCTGCCGAGAAAGCAAACAAGCCACTGCTGATCTAAGACTCCTATTAGGCCAGCAGCTGTAAGGTTACATGGGTTCATACAGCTACTCACTTTGATCCTTGTTAGTATTGACTCATTTACCATGATATTTGGTTATACTGCTATTTTTATTTACAATCCACATTAGTACAAGTCTTACCCTGCTAGTATTAAGAACAGTCGTTTGCTTCCATCATTTAAGTAAAAGCATCAAATTGCACCAAATATCATGGTGTTGAGTCTGAAGCCCAGACTCCAGTAATAGCAACCATGGTTTGCACTAAGCCATGACAAATTCTAGTGGATTCTTTCCAATAGAGCCACAGGGAGAAAACAGATCTACCCACTGAGGGTCTCAGGTCACACAGGCTCACCAATTAACATAAATTAAAAACTTGGCTTGGGATAAGGTTAAGAAGTTTTATGCTTTAAATGTGTCAATCTTATGTTTCTGTTTCTTTTCAGAGATACAGACAGAAGCATATTTGTACCACTACAACAGCAGTGACCGCTACAGCGACCAGCAGATGTTATTTTTACATCTATTCATCAGTTTCTTTACATCTGTAGAATCAATGGAAGTGGTGCTCGACAGCAGATTCTGCAGAAAAAAACATACGGTTTATATGATCGCTCTCCTCAGAATTTCCCGATGCAAAACTGGATGCTTGGAAGTGATTCCCAGAGTTTTCAAATGGGACAGGCCACTAAAACATTTCATGCTGTGGCCTCATCATAGACCTACTGTGCACGTGCACCACAACCATTCTGTACACAAGCAGTACATATGATATCTCTATTAACAAATGAACATAATGTGTACGTAAATGCTAGGGCTTGTGGTGATAACGGGTTATCAGCCAAGAGGAGGCTGCTGCCCAAACAATTTCTCTGGCCCACACTCTCTCAAAGAATGGGGTCTGCACTGGTTGAATTTATCTGCAAGTCACAGATCAAGCATCCCAGTGTACGACTCAAGGGGACTGCTGAGTAAACATATAGAAATCTAGAAGTAAAGCTGAGGCTTATTCACAAGTCTTTTTCAGGTGCTAAATGAAGTGGCGGATGAAGGAACACAAAAAGTGCTGCTAAAACATAGAGAAGAGGCAATACACAAAACATTGAGATATTATGAGATACTCAACTAGCAAATTGGCTATTTTCTCTGAAAAGAAGAAACTGCAAACTAAATGTCAATATAGATGAACAGCCAGAATAATAATGAACCAATACTTCAAAAATAATATAAATGCAATATTTTCAGACAGTAAAGAAAGTGAGCCCACCCTCCAAACCCATACTTACAAAAGCAAGCGGCATAAATGTTACTGAAGTATTAAACCAAAATACAGCATTTTGCATACTTGAAACCCACAAGAGAGAGATTAAGAAAGCCAGCCTGCTATTTTTTTTTTGAAGACAGTTGCCATATGCATTACTGTTAGGAACTTGTACCAAGCATAATCCTTGAGCTACCGTATCATTTAAAATATTAGAAGAAAAACCTGTAGCAACCCTAAGACAGAAAAATTCAATATAATTAGAAGAAAACTGAAACCAGTATGATAAAGGAATGCGAAGTCGCTCAACAACTACTCAAGAAGATGCAAGAACTGATGTCTTCTGACCACCAGAATGCTCAGCTGTACAGGATGATCTGGTATGGATAAAAATGAGATGCAATCTATTCAGAATCACAGAATGGCTGATGTTGGAAGGAACCCCTGGAGGTCATCTGGTCCAGCCCCCCCTGCCTAAGCATATGAACACCTAATTTCACAGCACAATAAGCTAGAGAACCTGAGGATTATTATTCAAATGTCCTCAGAGAAATGCTTTTTCACCATTTGAAAAAATTTATTTTGCTTTAAACTTCTAAAAATTTCTTTCTGCTAAAATAAAACAGGACAAATTTCTGTACAAAAGAAAAATGTGAAAATTATGAAGAAGGGACCTTACTGTATTGTACAGTTTAAGAATAAAATTTACAAGTTAGACAAGGAGCACCTAAGGATTCACCACAGTTAGCACATGAAAATCTGTGTATATATTCAAGGCAGAGAAGACACAAGTCCATTTGTTCTGGCTGTGATTCCACACATACACGACTACCTGCTGGCTCATATTCCAGCGAGGGGAGAGCTCATGCAGATACTGCCTCCAGTTACCTCCTCTGGAAGATTTCCACTCTCATGGGAGGACTGTCTGAACAGAGCACATAGACAATCCTAAACCAATGCAGTTTATAGCCTAGAATATTGAAGTGCACTGGAATCCACTGAGCCTACACGTCAATACTGAGGTCAAGGCACCCCAAAGAAACCACACACTAGGTTGTAGGATCTGTTCTACCTACAACTAGCCAAACGCAACGTTTTCACATGAGACTGCCCTAATCACAAGGCTACAGGCAAAGCGCTACAGACGTGAATTTGTACCACCACAGACAGGAATGCAAGATTTCTACAGTAAGAATAAGAGCCTGACTCCGCAGCTCAGGGGCGTTCCAGCCTCAGTATTGTTTACGCATTAGATAGGATGATTCTGAAGTACAAAATCCCTGCATCTGAGACTTCTAATAATGAATGAAAGCATGTCCTTTTCCATGTGACTCCTTGAAAAAAGGTAGTCTCCATCTTCTCTGTAGCCACCCTTTAACATGGTGATAAGGTCTCCTCTAAGCCTTCTTTTCTCAAGGCTGAACAAACCCAGTTGTCTCAGCCTTTCCTCATGTGGCAGGCTTCCCAGTCCTTTGATCATCTTTGTGACCCTTCTCTGAACTCTCTCCAGCCTGTCCACATCTTTCTTGCATAGCAGGGACCAAAACTGAAAACAGTATTCCAGGTATGGCCTCACAAGCACTGAGTAGAGTGGGATAATGACTTTATCTCTGCTGGTGATGCCCTTGTTGATGCAATCCAGCATCCTCTTGGCTTTCTTTGCCGCAGCAGCACACTGTTCACTCATAGGGAGGTTGTTGTCCACCAGGCCCCCCCGGTCCTTTTCCAGAGAGCTGCTCCCCAGCTGTGTAGCCCCCAGCCTGTGCTGCACTCCTGGATTATGTTTTCCCAGGTGCAAGACTTTACACTTGTCCTTGTTGAACTGCATAAGGTTCTTGTTAGCCCATTCTTCCAGCCTATCTAGGTCTTCCTGCAGGGTGGCTCTCCCTTCCGAAGTGTCCACTTCCCCACTCAGTTTGGTATCATTAGCAAACTTCATCAGGGTACACTTGATCTCATCGCCCAGATCACTTAAGAAGATACTAAACAGCGTTGGGCCCAATATCGATCCCTGGGGGACCCCACTTGCGACAGGTAGCCAGTTTGAAAGGAGCTATTTACCACCACCCTCTGGGTGCAGCCTGTCAGCCAGTTCCCCACCCATTGCACAGACCACTTGTCTAGACCGTAACATGAGTTTCTTTAGGAGGAGGCTGTGGGAAACCTTATCAAAAGCCTTGGATAAATCCAGGTAGACTATGTCCGCCGCTCACCCCACATCAACCGAGCAGGTTACTTTGTCGTAGAAGGCGATCAGGTTTGTCAAGCACAATTTGCCCTTGGTGAATCTGTGCTGGCTTTTCCCAATCACATGCTCCATTTGACTTGTGATAGCCCCCAGGAGGATTCATTCCATAACTTTCCCAGGGACTGAAGTAAGACTGATGGGCCTGTAATTTCCTGGATCCTCCTTCAAGCCTGTTCTTGTAGATGGGGGTGACATTAGCCTTCTTCCAGTCTTCTGGGATGTCCCCTGAGCTCCATGACTTCTCAAAGATTATGGAGAGCAGCCTCGCAACGACGTCAGCCAGCTCTCTTAACACCCTTGGGTGGATAACATCAGGGCCCATCGATTTGTAGGGGTCAAGCTCCTGTAATAGGTCACATACCAACTCTTCCTTCACTGACGGTGGGTTTGTGTCTGCATCAACCTGGATTTTTGTTCCCAAGGCCTGAGGCCCAACAGTGCTGGCAAAGACAGAGGTGAAGAAAGTGTTGAGAACCTCTGCCTTTTCAGCGTTGTTGGTGACTAATTCACTTCTCCTGTTTAACATCGGGCCAATATTTTCCTTCTGTTTCTGCTTGTTGTTCACGTACCTGAAGAACCCTTTCTTGTAGTTTTTGACATCTCTGGACAATTTCAATTCGAGCTGAACTTTTGGTTTTCTAACTGCATCTCTGCACACCCTGGCAATGCCCTTGTAGTTCTCAACGGGTATTCGTTCACTTTTCCATCTCTGGTATACTTCTCTTTTGGTTTTGAGCAGACTCAGAAGCTCACAGAAAAGCCCAGGGGGTCTCTTGCTCCACCTACTTCCCTTACCTTTAAAGGGGATGAACTGTTTTTGTGCTTCCAGGAGAGTGTTCTTGACAAACTCCCAGCACTCGCTAGCTCCTTTATCGTCCACGGAAGCTTCCCACAGAATCCCTCCCAACTGAGCTCCGAGAAAGCTGAAGTTTGCTCTTCCAAAATCTAGAGCCTTTGTCTTAGTACTAACTTGGCACATCTAACATTTGTATGAGGAAGCAGTCCTCAATGCATTCCAGGAACTTGATGGATGACATGTGAGCTGCTGTGCTGTTCTTCCAGCAAATGACTGGGTAGTTGAAGTCACCCATAAGAACCAGGTTCTGTTGACCTGAAGCTTGCTTAAGTGACCCAAATATTGCTTCGTTGGCCTTATTGTCTTGGTTTGGAGGTTGGTAGCAGATGCCTACTGTAAGATCCCTCTTGGAGATGACCCCTCTGGTCTTGACCCAGAGGCATTCAATAGGGCTTCCACAATCACCGTAGTTGGTTTCTATACATTCAAGATCTTCCTCAACATAGAGCACAACTCTCCCCCTCTTCTTCCCTGCTTGTCTTTACGAAACAGCCTATAGCTATCCATTGCGATCCCCCAGTCATGTGAGTTGCCCCGCCATGTTTCAGTTATTCCTATGACATCATAACTTTCTGACTGGGCACAGAGCTCCAGTTCCTCCTGTTTGTTCCTCAGGCTGCATGCATTGGTATACATACACTTGAGGTGGTTGGTCTTCTGGTTCTCATCTTGGGAGGCAGCTAAGGGACGTTTGTCGCTACTCTGGCTGGCCTGGCTTATTCCCCAGTTGGTTGCAATGGCGGGAGCATTGCCACTTTGGACCCCACCCCCCAAGTCCTTCAGTTTAAAGCTGAGCTCACCAAGTTGGCCAGCCTGCTGCCAAAGATTCCCTTGCTACTTCTAGACAGGTGGATGCCATCCCTAACAGGCTATAGTCATCGAAGAATGTCCCATTGTCATAAAAGCCAAAACCCTCAAGATGGCACCAGCCATGAAGCCAGAAGTTGATTTGCATTACACATCTATTTCTGGCTGCACCCTTTCCTCTAACTGGTAAAATGGAAGAAAAGGTAACTTGGGCACCAATACTTCTCGCTCGCACCCCCAGGGCTTTGTAGTCTTCCTTGATTCTGCCCAGGTTCCAGCTTGCGGGGTCATTCGTGCCCACATGAAAGAGCAACAACAGATAGCAGTCTGTGCTCTTGACAAGTTGTGGCACCTTAGCTCCTAGAAGGCAGCATACCTCTCGCGACTCCCTGTCAGGCCGGCAGATAGGCGCCTCAGTGCTCCTTAACAGCGAGCCACCCAGTACGAGCACTCACTGTTTCTTTTTGCACTATCCACTGTGTGCTGCTAGTACAGTTTCTCCTTGCTCGTGGATGTCTACAGCTGTTAAAGCTTCATATCTGTTTTTGATTGTAATGCTGGAGGGTGGGGACTGAACTAGGGTGCTGCTTTTGTGGGTCACCAGGGTCCAAGATGCCTCATTCTCTGTGGTGTCTGCCACAGGAACACGGTTCTGAAACCACCTATCTATCTCCATCTCAGCCCCTCTAATACTGCGCAGCCTTTTAACTGTTTCCTGCAACTCGGCCACTTGACGCAACAGATCATCAGCCTGTGCACATCTTTGCAGGTACTTAGCTTTTCTCCAAGAGAAGGGTCTGGGCACTCGTTGCAACCTACTGTCTGCACTGAAGGCTCCTTCCTTGCCATATGTAAACGAACAACCAGTTTTGTTGAAACTCTCCCTAAAACTTATTTTAATTGCTGAACTATGATCCATTTCTCCCAGACCATTGTAAAATACAATGGGGTGGGAGTAAAAAGGAGAATGCAGCAGCACTTAAATACATGGCAAAATCCCAAGATTTTAGGAAAATTCTGGCTGGAGATTAAAAAAAGGATGCAGAAGACTGAAGACAAAGGGCTTTTTATACACTTGCCATCTATTAAAAGTACTTTAAGCGCAGTTTTGTAAAGCGGCAGGACTAATTAAACACGGACAGTATTTGCAGAAGAATGCATGTGAATACATCAAGCATGTCACCGCAGGATGCAGAAAAGGCTAGACAGTCATAAGGGATTTCCTTCCTTTAACAGCAACAGTAAAGCAAAGTAATTAGAAACCAAAGATATGACACTACCATCTTTAAAAGATTAATAGGTATTTGAAAATAACTGTTGAACCGTCTAGATAAAAAAAATTGAAAAACAAACGGTGAACAATGACAACTACAGAGAGTGGGAAAAGTAAAAATCCTGTTGGAAAAACAACTCTAAAAATGAAAATTTGTCAGTGGGATAAATATTAGAACCCAATTTCAAAGTAATTTCTTTCCCACGATAAAAGTTACCATACCATAGGCAATCTCACTCATGCTTTCTCCAGGAACAGGCTTGAGAGCGCAACATCATGTTGTAACAGGAGTACTTAATCTACCCTGCTAGGCAGGTGCAATGTGAGCATCTTCTGCACAGTTTAGATAGTGCTTTGAATTGAAGCTGTGTCGCTCACTGGAGTGGGCTTGTCAAGACATGGATCACTGAATATCACTCAGAACTGAGCTACTGAAACTGGATAGGACTCAATTACTTTATAGTGCTAATACAGTTTATGAAATTAAAGTCACCATTCTTTACCTCTCACAGAAAGCAAATAGATCACACATGCGGACTGATACCAGTAAGGTAATACTTTGATGAAGACAAATCCCTTCCCTAGCAAAACTTGGGAAGGTCTTTCCCTCTTAAAACATTTGACGTGTCATTCAAAAACATAAGAGTTTAATCTTTTAATGTCAAAGAGTTCTTTAGTAGTATGTTACATTAATGTAACTTTTTCAGTGATAAAGTGAAACTCTCAACCTTTTCCCAGAGTCCTGAATCAAGTCAGCTTTCTTCCAAGGGGTGAGAAGAAAGGGAGGACTACACACATTGTAGTCTTAAATACTGGATACTAGAGAAACAAGAATAATAAAATAACGTCTTGCAGCAGCAAGATATCCTCAAAACAAAATCAAGAACAAAGCCCAAAGACCATATTTCATATATAATATTACGTATTTGTGTCAAGGCTTTCAGTTTTTCCCTGACATGTGAGAAAACATTTCTTTCAGGAGTATTTGTAAACGAGACAGAAAAAAATATTTTTTACTTACATTTGTTTGAATCCAAATGGAGTGTTTGGTTATTTATAATTCTTTAGTCAGTCACTGTTCCTTGTAACATGTAATACCTCTACTCTCATGAAATGAAAAAAAATAAAAGAGAACTTGTCTACTAGGAAAATGAGGGCCTGTGACTCCTCATTATTCCTCATCCTTGATGTAGAGATCCTTAGAGAGGGAGAAGAGCTGGGTTTTCCATCTGTAATTTAAAATTAGAAATCTCTGTATAACTATGCGCATATTGAAGTAATACCTAGCCTAGAATCAAAGAGACAAGAGTTCAATTCCCATCTAGGGAGACTTCATGTGTGGCCTTGGGCAAGTTAGTTACCATAGATGATGCACTTTCTCGTTGTGAAATGGATGTAACAGTACTTTCATATCTGAAAAAATCTGTTACAGGGATAGATATACAAAAGGAACACTGAGAGAAAAAAAAAAAAAAGACGGGTTCTTGGAGTACAAAATAGCTAGGAAGACACAGAACAAAGTGTTCAAACGAGCAGCAGTATCCTATTCAGGATATGGCCACATCTGTCTCAGCAAGTCTTCAAGAAAGGAAACAAAACTTTCATGACTAATTTATAGGCCTAGAATCAGACTACTGAAAGTATTCTTCTTCCAATAGCAGGCCCCCTGTATCCTTTTTTATCTCACACTACTAAACCCTGAAATTGTGCCCAGCTTTCTTCAACACTTTTGCATCAGCAAAATTCAAACAACCTGATGATATGAAAAATATATGACCCCAATCTTCCATCTATGGGATGGCTCAGTGCAGCAATAAAAGTCAGTCAACAAATATGTTCTTCCACTTGAACTACGGGGGGAAACAAAGATGAGAGAAAAGCAGAACATTCAGATGTAAAGTTGAATTACGTTTAAAAAACCTCAATCCAAACATATAAGATGCCTAAATATACCACTACAAGAGAAAAAAGGTAAAAAAATAGTATGAGGAAAGTTTCTCTCCATATTCAAAAACAAAGATCGAAATTGGAATAATCATCACACCAATAGGCTCCTAAAAGCAAATAAGGAGATCTCACAAATTAGAAGAAAATGCAATGTATCGTTGGTTTTTGGGGACAGGGCATCGCTCTCCAAACCCAGAAGCATAATGGCATTCTTGTGCTTTTGAAAGCAGCACAAAGATCCTCTCCCCAGAAGCCCAGATTTCTGGGCAGTTTCTAGATTCAAGCAAGAAGTCCACAACCTTCCTTGAATCCATTATCTTCCAAAAGACAAATTCCTCTCAAGTTCTCTAGCAAACATGTCAGGCAGGTCCCAAGGTCCAGAGGTCTGAGAACCCCTGAACAGATGTTTCTACAGCTCAGAGGTTCAAAGATAATAGCATAGGTAACACCAAATAAAATCACATTTGAAACTCTGATTTTTACTGAGTGCCTGAACACACACTTCTGTTGTCACATCTCCAACTCGTATCCATTCAATTAATTTGCTCACAGACAACTTTTTATATCAAATATAAGTTGTCTTAATCATTTGGACAGAGGTCCTCCCACTGTAAGAGAAGATCAGGTTTGTGACCACCTGAGGAACCTGAACGTATATAAGCCTATGGGTCCTGATGAGATACATCCGAGAGTCCTGAGAGAATTGGCTGATGTAGTTGCTAAGCCACTCACCATGATACTTGAAAAGTCAGGGCAGTCAGGCGAAGTCCCTGGGGACTGGAAAAAGGGAAATATTGCAGCCATTTTTAAAAAGGGTAAAAAGGAGGACCCTGGGAACTACCGACCTGTCAGCCTCACCTCTGTGCCTGGAAAGATCATGGAACAGATCCTCCTGGAATCTATGCTAAGGCACATGGAGGACAGGGAGGTGATTCGGGACAGTCAGCATGGCTTCACCAAGGGCAAGTCCTGCCTGACCAGCCTAGTGGCCTTCTATGATGGAGTAACTACATCAGTGGATGAGGGAAGAGCTACAGATGTCATCTATCTGGCCTTCTGTAAGGCCTTTGACACGGTCCCCCACAATATCCTCCTC